AGTATAGTATCTATATAATAAAATATATTAATATATTTTAATCTTAATTAATATTATAATATTATAAGTCTATTTTTTAAATATATTATAAGATATCTGTAAATATATCTTACTTTTATTTTTCTATTTTGAAATTACTATTTATAATTTTTAAATTTAATATTTTATTAATATTTTTATAATAATATATCTTTACTGATTTTATAACAGTAATTTAATTTGTATTGTTGTTGTTATACAGTCTATTAAAAAAAAATTAAATCTTTTTTTATAAACTTTATTTTTTTTTTAGCAGATACTATACTATTAATAGTCTTTTTTTTAATTTTATTGCTTTTAGTTTTTCAGTTGCTTTATATATTAATTTTTTTTTATAATTAAAAAATATATTTTAAATAAAAGAATCAGACTTTTATATTCTTTGCTGATTTAACAGTCCAGAAATTAAGATATTTAATCAGATAGTTTTATTAAATATATTCTCTTTTTTATTATATCTATAATTCAACTAACTTTTTATTTATTTAAAAACTAAGACTTTTTATTTATTAAATAAATAGAAATCTAATAGTAAGAATATTCTAATATTAGACTAATACTAAGCCTTTCTTCTATTAATATTCTATATATTATTAATAATTTAATATATAATAAATTTAAATATCTTTCTTAATAATATATCTATTAATAATACTGCTTTTAATAATGTCTTTCTTAATAATATCTTTTTTAATAATACTGTTTTTAATAATATTTTTTTTAATAATATTTTTCTTAATAATACTATTTTTAATAATACTATTCTTAATAATACTGTTTTTAATGATGCTGTTTTTAATAATATCTTTTTTAATAATACTAATAATATAAAAATATATATATTTTAAAACAGGTTATATTCTTTTTCAGAATACTTTTTTTATTTTAAATTTATAATAAATAGAAGTCTGTTAGATTAGTTTTTTTACAGATAGCTTTTAATCTTATCTACAGACTTTTTATCTAATTTTCTTTTTATTTTTAGAATCTAGGCTTTTAATATAGAGATTTTTTTAAAAAAGACTATACTGGCTTAGTAGAGATATTCTAATTATTTAATAATTTTTTAATTTAAATTCTTTTAAAAAAAGCTGAATATTTTTTAATAAACTGTTAAAAAAATTCTTACTTCTTCTTTTAATTAAAAAATATAAAGTTAATATTAATCTGATAATACAGTTTTTTTTTCGGTTATTATTTAAAAAAAAATCTTACTAAAAAAAATTCTAAAAAAATTTTAAATTATATATAATCTTCTAGAGCTGTTCTACTATATTCTATTATTTTAGTTTAGTTAGAAAAAGCTATATTTTAAAATAATTAAATATTTTAATAATTTAGTTAAGCTCTGGTATTTTTATATATAAAGATTTTTTTTAATAATTATATCTGATAAGTATATATCTCTTTCTAATAAAGATTTATTATTATTAGATAATTTTATTTAGATAAATTATAAGATATTTTAGAATTATAGAATTTTTATTTAATATAATTAGATTATTTTTATAGAATTTAATAAACAAATATTTTCTTTTACTACTAATTAGATTATTCTGACTATATAATCGATATTAGAATAATATTAATTATTTAAATTTTATAAAAACTATTTTAGTCTTTCTAAATCAGATTATAATTATTTTTATTTTTTAATTAAATATTAAAAGTATCTGAAGATCTTAATATTATTAGTCTTAGAATAAATTAACTTTATACTTTTTTATTAGATTATTTTAAATAATAATTTAATTATTATTTTTTATATATTTTATCTATTTATTTGTAAATTTTAATAATATATTAAGATATATTTTCTTTAAGTAGAGTTGGAGATTAAATATTATAAATACAGCTATTTTTAATAGTTATCTGAACAGTCTAATATTCGGTTAATTCTATTTCTACTATTTATTAATAACTTTAAAGTATATTAAAATATATATAAAGTTTTAAAAATTTTTATCTTATTCTAATAGAATTAACTTATCGAAAACAACATTGTCTGGATAACTCTTTTATTTTAATACTGAATTTTTATAATATAAAAATAGAAGATAATATTTAAATATTTAAAAATAAGATTTGGACTTTTTTTTAAAAAATTTATATATATTTTTATAAAATATACATAGTTATTACTGTATTTATTATTATATTTACCGGCGATATATTTTAATAAATAAAGAATTCTAATACTTAAAATTATAATATTAAATTCAGATATTATATCTGCTATTATTTAAAAAATAATAAATATAACTTAAAATTTAACTTTTTTTTTATACAGTCGGTATTATTTTAAGATTAAGTTATTCTAAAAATATATAGAAAATCTTTTCTTATCTGCTAAATAGATTTAGTTTTTTAATTTAAAAAATCTATTATTTTATTTATTACTATTCGAATTGTTTATATTATTATTAAATTTTATTTTTAGTCGACTGTATAATATTTTTTATTTAGATTAAAAAATTTTTAATTTTTGTCTTTAAAACTTTATACTTCGGATTTTAAATTTATAAAATATAAAAAAATATTCTATAGTACTTCAGAAAATTATTAAATCTATTTATTAGTTTTATCTTTTAATATTTAAATATTTTTAGATATTAATATTATCTGAATTTAAATAAGTACTTATTCTACTTCTGCTAGTCTTATAATATAAGATTAATAAAACTTAATTTTATTAAAGATATTTTAATTATATTTTAATTCTACTTCTAATACTTTATCTATAAATTAAATTAAATTTATTATTAAAATATATTATCCGAATCTATACTATTATTATTTAAGAAATTTCAGCAATTTTAATATATTATATTATTTTAACTTTAATAATATTCCGACTTATTATATATAATTAAAAAGCTTTTTAATATTTTATTATAATTATTTTATTTTTTAAATATCAAAAATCTAAAAAGATTTATATCTGATAGTAATATATCTTATCTTTTATAATATAAATAACTAATTAATTATTTATAAATAAAT